ATCCACAGTCGCTTATAGCACTACATACACTGTAGGGTTGCTGAGGTTCCGTATACCTCATAAATTGATCACCACTGCTTTAAAGTATATGTAAACCCAATCTCCAAAATCTTGTATAAGCTTTAACATGTTAATATAATTTCAACAATTTTTAATCTGTGGATTTTGCTAAAATAATCCCTGGTGATCCTGCCATGAAGACACTTCCTGTTAGAGGGTGACAACACCCTGTCCCCCAATTGTGCTCCTGTGTTGTCACCCCCTCACACAGGCTTCCGATAGAGACTACAGGGGTCTATTTCAACAGACATTACACAGGCATGGTTCACTGTTGTCACCATAAGGAGCCCCACCTTGAGTAATGCCATGCAGCCACCGCTGGAGTCAGGGGCGCCCCAAGGCGGGGAGTCACCCGGAGCGGGTACTGGGTGACACCCCGCATGACATCATTGCGCATGAAGTCATCAAGCACGTGCGACATCAACGCACATGTGCGTGATGACGTCATGCGCTGGTACCTGCTGGCGGCCATCTTGGTGATGGACGCCAGCAGAGAGGAGGGGATGTTCACCCGGCGGGATAAGGAATGCCACCAGGTCCTCTCCTCTCTTGTGCAACTGTCGGGCTCTCGGTCATAGACCGAGTGCCTGACATTTTACAGAGGGTGACTCCAAAATGAATGTCAGTCATTTTGTTGTCACCCGGGTTTGGGCCACACCCCCTAGTGACCCCACTGACTGGAGTGCATGTAGACAGGAAGTGGCAGCAGATCAGCAGCACTGCAAGGCTACAAATAAGCAAATAATATTTTATGAAGATAAAAGCAATTGTTTGATACGCACGGCTTCAGAAATCTAAAAGTCATTCATCTGGGAGTTACATGTACATTGGAGCAGATGGTTATTTTTTTTGGCAAGAAAGTTATTTTTTCTACCCAAATAATGTGAGTCGGTAACGCTGATGTGACCTGTAGATTCATGTAATGGCTGATTAGAATAGCGCGATGGGAGCGTTGTGCCTGTAATGAGGCCATTAGCGCGTAAGCTTTTCTGGGTTAAGGACACATGCGTACGGTTCAGTGTTCATGTGCAAAGCAAATATGTAAATGAATAAAGGAAATATAAAATATTAGTGCAGAAGGTTCCCATCGGTGCCGGGATTTTCAAGGCTTGGCTCTGGAAATGTCCTTGGGGCTTTCAGTACTTTTTTCGATGGTATATTCAATTGCCGCCATTTAATATTACACATAAGGAAAAAAATAATAATATGTACAGTATATGTGTGTACACACACACACACTTAGGGATGCACCAACATTTCAGCTGAAAATGGTACTATGGGCAAAATGCAGATAGCACAAAAACAGATGAAAATGTGCACCCCCAGCTTCTCTCCCCCTGCCGGGCGCCGTAACTCTGTTCCCTCCGATCCCCACTGCTCTCCCCTGCCTGTGTCAGCATAGGCAGCGGGGATCGGAGGGGGCAAAGAGCCAATGCAGCTGCCAGCGGGGAGGAGAGAAGCTGTTAGGAGGTGGAGCGGGGCTGCGTGGGGGGAGCTCGGCCTCTTGTGACAGGCGAGTCAGGATGGAGAGAGGAGAACAAACACTCCACTCAGTACTGATCGCTGAGTGTTTGTAAATAATGGAGGACATAGTATGTTTACTATGTCCCCAGTTATGAATTAACAGGAAGTGCACTACATCACTTCCTGTTCATTGATGATTGTGGACATAGTATCAGTTACTATCACCTCAGTTTATGAATGGACAGCAGCAGCTCAGTATAGCGAATTATGCTGGCAGAGGACAGGTGTTTCTACGCAGGCAGTGGCTGCTTTGTAAAGAAAATGAACTGTAAGCCTTTGCTCACCTTTATGTTTTGAGGCTCCTGGAATGTATCTGGCGGATTCAAGATGGAGGTTCGGCTGAGCTTTAGGGTTATAAGGACCCAGACCCGTCTTCCTTCTGGAAATGGCTCTCTGTTCTATAACACTGTACAGAGGCAATTTAAAGATTTTAATGAACTGCTTGTAAAACACAAGTTGACACATCCCAGACTTCACTAGAAACGATTCCCTTGTAGCCTCAATTACAGTAAATAAATACATTACAGATCCTGCCGGGGAACAGACATTAGTATAAAACCAAGAAATAAAAAGCTGCAAAACATGCAAATCACTCTTCCAAGCCATTTTATTTAATTATTCTTTCAAGTCATAAATACAATAATTGGTTTTGTAGCGGACATTTTGCTGTAAAGACTAGCAAAGGGTGCCGGGTAATTTATTGACTGCTAAAGAACGGAAATCATCCGGACATTACAGATAATAATGAGTTCTGTCTGAGATTGCTTCCACTGGATACCAAATATTTATTACAGACACCCAGAGAGAGCCAGGGGAAGACCCCAGGAGTGCAAAGCAGAGCCGGACATCCTGGAGAACTACACATCCCAGAGCTCCCCACTTCCCAGGTGCCTTCTACAGGAGTTGACCTTTTGGTAACTTTACAAAAATGAATGAAGGAGAGGAGATGGCCGGGGGAACTTCCCAACACTGTGAAGGCGAATAGAACTTACATGCAGTCTACTGCTGTGATCAAGGGATCTTAAAGTGACACTAAACTCAGGAAATACAATTTTAAAAATACATTAAAGTACCTGAACTATTAACAACAATGTATCTTATTTGTGTGTCACCCGACCATGTTCCCCATGGTCCCTGTGTGTTGTAAAGTAGCCACCGCTCCAAGCTCACTCCTGTGATAGACTACAATCTCAATACAAATTAGTAAACTAAGCATGAGATTGTAGTCCATTCCGGGGGGGAGCCTGGAGCGGTGGCTACATTACAACACACACAGGGACCATGGGGAACAAAAGTAGCCCCCCTCCAGAGGGAAGGACAGTGTCAGCACCAATTCAAAGATGATTGGAGGACCTACAGCCGAGTGATACACAAATGAGATACATTGTTGTTAAAAGTTCAGGTACTTGAATGTATTTTTAAGATTTAACTCATGGGTGTATTATCACTTTAAGTCAGTACAGACATAAGGGTGGAAGAACTGTATTGAGACAGGGGGAGACTGGAGTGCATCAGGTACTGAGACCTGCAGGG